AAAACGTTGCTAAAAAACTGCATGGTCACATGTAGCAGAAATATAGTAAGTATTCAATTAAAATTTAAAAAGAAGCTGGAAAGCAGCATAATAGGAACACTTCAGCCCATGATCATCCAACTATTTCCATTTTAGCACTCTAAGGAATATTCAGAGTTGCTTACCACAAAAGACAAAGTGTCAGTGATTGGGCAATGGAAAAGGAAGAGCAGAGACGAGGGCTTTAATTTAGCCAAACTCAACTGCCATGGCAACTACAGGACAAACAAAGATTAAGGCAGCAGAAGAACAAACCATTTTGTGTGTTCCGTTTAATGATTTTTACTTGTTTACTTTGAAAGTCTTATTCACGAGTGACCCCCCCCAACATACTGCTGTGCCAAATGTCATAAGATTTGACTCTATAAAATCTTATACGTTTTATTCCTTAGTATTGCACGTATGTGTGAAGAAATGCCGCACTGTTGCCAGCGGCGTGATGCAGTTTGTTTGAAAGAAAAGCTCTCATAACTGAAGTCAATTCTTGGGACGCTTGCTCCTTGGAAACTGCTCAGGAGCTCAGAGAGCTCTGGCTCCAATTCCCAAGAGTGAGGGGGGTGTCTGCAGTCTGTGCAACTACCAATTTTCAGGCTGGTCTAAGCAGTGCAAATAGAAGAAGCTACCACTGAGAAAAGACTCAATGCCGCTAACAACTCCTTCTCCTGACCAGCACAGCCCCAACAACTGCTGCTCCTCGGCAGAAAGCAAGCAACATCTTTACTTCCTTAACGCACATCTGTGCTACCACAGGTGGCCAGGAGATAATAGCAAAGTAGCCATTTCTATAGCATTCCTCATTTATGCTGTCTCTGCTTCCTAAAGTTCCTAATGCTTCCTAAAGGAAGCATTATTTCAGAAGCAGATGACAACCTAGACATGCATCATAACGACAAATCAACCAAAGTGCAGGCCCTATCCTAAACTGTCAACTAAGCCTACATATAAACTATATCATAACACAGCAAAAAAAAATCTTTTAGAAGACACCCATTTATCTCTTTCATTATAGAATATGACAAAATTATTTTTACATTAATACAATTAAACACTTCACATACCTAGCCATTTCTATCTCACTAACATTTTTATTCAACATACTAAGAGCATACAACAGAATCATTAATACCAGCGTGCTGGCACAGAATGACATGAGAAATAAGCAGAGGTCACAGCTTAGCACGCAAGGCAGAAGTGTCTTGAAAACACACTTCAGATGCATATGGAAAACCACAGAGCAGGTTTGTATCACCTGAGAAAGCAGTTGTGAAGAAGCTGTGAAGTTCAACAGCTAGGGTGCAACAGAAATTAAGTTTCCGAAACAAGAGGGTTGTTAGATTGCTTGTACTCTGGATACAAGAGTATGCTGAGTTTTCTTTCCCAGAGTCTGTACACAATCAGAGTAAAAAGCCTCTATCAGAAAATTTTAGTCATTCATAGAGAATGAAAGTGTTTTAAAGGCAAAAATCCACAAGGGAAAAAAATTGCCCACAGCTTAAGACTGCACAATGGAACCAGAAAATCTGAAATAGGAAGACATAACCAAGAGATTACATATTTGCAGTTATAAGAATTGCAACTAGCAGATGAAATGCAGGCAAATGCCAAGTAAGTCAATGCTTCTTAACAGCTACTTAAACCACCTAATAAGTAAAGTTGTCGTGCATTGAAAGCAAAGTGTCAGTTTTTAACTGGTGTCTGAGCAGTTYCAGTTCCAGTCCAGATGTATGTATTTTATACACATAATTAACAGCTTTTCAAAAAGTGCCATTATCTAGCACCTGTGATACATGACTAACAAAGCAGCTAAACAGGAGATGAGACCTCTACTTGTTGGAGGTTATGATCCTACTAGCAGGTACTTGTAAAGCTTGTGATATACATGCTAGCCAAAGACGAACTGTTTAGCCAGCTTGACTTGGTGCTGATTTTACTCTAATAGGATAATACTATGAGGCAATGTGCTAAAAAGCTTAAGACTACAATGGCACTATAATAAGATTTAGTAACATACCACAGCCACTAGGGATGGACAGAAAATGTTTATTTCCTTTACATACCCTTCAGCCAAAGGATATTTCATTTGTTTAATGGGGGGAGGCAGAGGCCCACACTAAAGAATGAAATGTCTAGACAGAGAGAGAGAGAGAGATCTTTTGAGGTATTATTGAAGGAAAAAAAAMATGGATACATGGTGGTAAGAGAGAATCGGATGTGACCACAGAGCATGAGGAATATGGAAGATGAGAATTTCGTCAGATTTGCGACTGCAAACATTTCAAGACAGCAGGAGGAGTTCAGCATTAGCCATGTTAAATTAAATTCACTGGAGGGTGTCCAGAAAAGGAGATCAGAGTGAGAGAATGACTTTTAAATAATCTGTTTATATTAATCTTGGCCATGAGAAATAGATCATAAACTGAACAAAACTTATTCAATTACTTTTATAAACTGTAACCTAACATCTTCAAAAAATTTTTATATATATATAAATATCTGTGGGACCACAGTTAGAAGAGTAAAGCGGACCAGATTCAAAAGAATAAAATAATAATGGATACCTCAAAAACACATGGGGTCAGCCACAGAGGAAGAAAAGGAGGGGTCCAAGGAAGGATTTTAGTGGAAAGAAACATGCTGAAAAAAAAACATGCTGAAGGAGTGACCTAAGAGGCTTGATAAGAACCAGACTGGGATGGAATCAAAGCAGCCAAATGAGTAACTTCAAGGAATAAGTGATCCCCAGAGTCAGAAGCAGCAGGGAACAAGGACAACGAGGTGGGAGACAAACCTGTCTCCGAGCTGGGCACAGTTACTGTCGACAGCAGTTTCAGCTGAGCGAAAAGGACTCCAGCCAAACTGGAGGAGATCCAGGATGAAGCTGGAGGCAGTAGCTGTTAAGCGGCACATCTGATGAACTCAGAGATGAAGGAGGAATATAGGACTGGCTGTGCTCCCAACTCTGGGGAAAGGGCAAAGATTGTCTCCTAATTCAAAATGGGTGAAATTTTCAATATTGCTTAATACTAGTCTAATTCCTTTATCTTTAAAATCAATGGAAGCATAATTAGATCAACATTAAAATCTTGTATTAAGCTGATTAAAAAAAGAAAAAGAGAAAAAGAAAACTTAAATAAACAAAGTACAGATATCAAGAGAGATGCAAGAGGATACACAGGAATCAGATTGTACACGTTCTGTTGTAAGGAATAACAGGAAAAAAATGACAGTTTATCTACTTGTGGTTTCATTTCCTTACATAACTGTCTGCACTTATTTTTGTGAGATACTTTGTTCATTGACCATATAAAGCAAAATCATGTACGACAGCCCAATTTTGAAGAAGTTCTCCACTATATGAGTTTATACCACAGGTTCTAAACATTACCTAAATATCACAGGGCTTTAGGAAGAAGCCTGTAGGAAAACCTGTACTGCATTCACCATGACTGAAGATAAATGCATTTGCCAATGCAGAAACAACAGCTTTCACCTTTGTACTGTGTAAGGCACCCATACAGGTGTTGGGATCCCTCTGTTCAAGGCAGGAGATACCCTTTGAAGTAGGCTGTGCTACTTCAACACATGCACCAGCCGTCATGCCACTTTTGATACTGTTTTACAGAAGCATGATCTGTGTAGAGGTCTTGTTGTGAAAAACAAAAATAAAGCTGAGAATTTGTGGCTTTCTGGTATCTCAGTTCAAACTAAAACCATTGCTAAGACAGCAACATCTTAAACTGCCARCTCTGAAACAATGTTCACAAAGCTCTGGGCTATGACACTCTTCCTTTTCAGGCAGTCTGTCTTGCTGTCTTTGTTCAATGAGAGATACCTAGAATAATTCTCTTAGATAAGCATGGTACATCAAAAACCAACAAAATAATCTCCCCTGCTTCCTTCCCATCTTTATTTTTTAATGTATAGAGACCTTATCAAATTAAAGGCTTTTTAAAAAAAATCTAATTTTGTATTCAAAGCTAATGAAAGAATAGATTATGTGAATATACAGTAAAATGAAAATATAGTCCTGACCAAATCATACAATAACTCTGTGGTTCAGCTTCTTAATATGTAGAATAGGGAAAATCTTTACTCTACCAGGAGAGCACCAAGAAGATTGGTTGTGTAGAATATTTCGAACTATTCAGTAAAGAGAAAAAATACCAATTATTTTCAGTTATATCAACCAGTACAAAAAAACAAAGCAGCAAGCAAACAAACAAACAGATATTAAAGATAACATTTTGGTGGCAAGGATCAAGAAAAACCTCCACTGTAAAGTTTCCATTATCACACAGTGTCATATGATAGAATCATATAAAATTGAATTCATCATCTGGGGGAAGGAATAGTATGTCTAGGCCATATCTGCACCATAATCTCTTCAAGTTTTATAAGTGCATGTAAACATCACTAACATCACAGCACTCTAGTGAGCCAGAAAATGTTCCTACCAGTTAGGCTAGAGGATCATGACTCTTGCACTGACCCTGCACTATCTCATGTCAAATGTCAGATTTTGAGGGGGGAGAGGTGAATTAGCGCAGATATCCTACTTGGTTTCTGTACTTTCATGGCACCTGGTATTCTGTCATTTCCTTCATTTATATTTTTGTTGAACCAGCTGTTGGGACTGAAATGCTGCTAGACCTGTGCAGCACTTGCATTCAAAGAAAAAACTTCATGAAAGCATCAGATACAGAACAATAGTATAACAGAACATGATACAAGTTAAAGTGTTGAAAAATAATGTTCTTGAGAAATCTTTTAGAACTAAACTTACCTAGATATAAAAGGGTACCTACCTGAACTTAGAAAACACAGTTGGACATATTTTAAAAAGCGTTTTTGATTAATATAAACTACAGAACTCTCTTAGGATTGACTTAGGAATTGTAAACCTTTGATAATTCAYGCCCCTTGTGGCAGAACAGACAGATGGTAAGTTTTTCAGTACTTACATCAAACGTGGGTGTGCTTTGCTGGGCACTCTGATTACACGGTTCTCTGAAGCAATCGGTGAAAGGAAGTAAAAGACCCATTGCAATAATACGAGAGCATAGTTTCTCTGCTTCTTCTTGTGGTGCATTCTCCTGCTGACTGAACAGTTTTTCCAGTAGAGTTCTCCCTGCCAAAATGATAACATAGATCAATAAGAATTTGTACATCTATGGAATAAAAAGCTTAAGACATTGCAACATGTATTAAAATCAAGAAGTATTTCAAGTACAATACATGTTTCCAAAATTCTTGACAGAAAACATTCAATAGGTCCTTAATATAAAATGTTGCTATATAATCAATTGAACTGGCCCACAGCATGATTAATTAGATCATTCAAGAAAACATATATTGGATTGGATGCAATGTGGAGTAGAAAAAGAAAGAGAGGCAAAAAAAAAAATCATGTTAGTGCAGCACCAATTACCTATTTATTTTTTATACTATTGTCCTGATGAGAAAACTGAGATACTATCAAGAAATGAAACAACTTTTTCCAAGGGTGTCACACAGTTGTAGAATTCTCCCAGCTCTTGGAATGTGCCTTTGTTTTCTTGAAYCACAAAATAATCAGAGCCTTTAAAAAATTATGCACAATTTCTGTAGAAAAACTCAATAGAATAACAATAACAGACCCCCCCAATAACTACTCTGCCTACAAGGATATTTTATGCAATTTCAGAGCAGCGCAGTGCTCCGGTCTACAATGCAGTACTGCAAGGACAGAGTTCAGGGAAATCTTTCGCTGAGTTAGAAAGCCAGTCTATTTCTATTACAGGGCCAGCTTTCAGGATCCCAACGTCTTATCTCAGCACAGCATTACAAGAGAACAAGTCTTAGAGTATATTACAGAAGAGCAACGCTAGAGGTCTGAGAGAACTTTGTGCTGTGTGAAGTTAGCCAGAATGAAACTTAAAACATTTGATTAGTTATATACGCAGGCTACACTAAGTTCTGAATTGTAAGAATATTAAATTGCTTGATTAAGCTCTAAAATGTAAAAAGATGCCAAAATTGGGATTTACAAGAAGTAAAGAGATGAAATAGATCTACTGGAAGAGAAAAAGGCAGAGGGAGTACTAAAGTTAATTGAATGTTTTAGTATGAACTAAGCGTGAATACAATTTGTACCTAAATCAAATTCTGCCTTTTTCCACAAACTCCAAGCCAAAGGTATTTT